GTGTGTGTGTGTGTGTGTGTGTGTGTGCGCGCGCGCATATATATATGATATATATGAAAATTAGAATCTCTTCAGGTCTCAGTCTGGTGTCTTTAATGTTCTGCTGTGGAATTTACTAGCAACAAGATTGCACCATTTATGTATCACTGTGCTGTCACATTTTCATATAATGTAGAGTTCAAGGATCAAGCCGTTCTAGGAATCTATGTAAACATAAAAGGCACATGACATATTTTCAGATAACCCTTAATACTTACACATCTATGTCCACTATCTTTATATAAACAAAGTTCCAGTTTGTCATCTCTTAATTTCAGCAGTGTTAATCAGGAATAGTTTTGTCTAATTCGTGAAAATTAGAATTTTAGAATGTGAAATATAAATGATTTTAAAATGATTTTATAATCATTTACAACATGGCTTTGTTGCTGAAAGGTCCTGCCTGACCACCCTCATCTCCTTCTATGACCAGGTGATGCATTGCCTGGATAAGGGAGACAAGGTTGATGTCATATATCTGGATTTTAAGAAAGCCTTTCATTTGGTCTCCGGTGATGTCCTCATGATTAAGCTGGGGAACTGCAGCTTTGACCATCTTATGGTCTAATGGCTGGGGAACTGGCTCCAGGTTTGGACCCAAAGTGTATTAGTTGATGGGAGCCAAGCAACATGGCACAAGGCGACCAGTGGTATCCCCCAGGGCTCAGTACTCGGGCCAGTACTCTTCAACATCTTCATTAATGGTCTGGATTTGGGGGTCAGATGCAGACTGGCAAAGTTTGCGGATGACACTAAATTATGGGGGACGGAGGTCACACTGGAGAACAGGCTAAGGTTACAGGCTGACCTGGACAGGCTCACAAGGTGGGCGGACAAAAAATGTGATGGCATTCAACATAGAGGAGTGCAAAGTGCTCCACCTTGGGAGGAAAAACCAGCATCATACTTACAGGCTCAGTAGCGCTACACTCACTAGCACCATGAACAAGAGACTTGAGGGTCTTGATTGACCACAAGATGAACATGAGCTACCAATGCACTGCTGTAGCTCACAAGGCAAACCCCAACTCTGGCATGCATCAACCGATGCATCTCAAGCAAAACCAGCAACATCATCCTGCTTTACTTGGCCTTAATGTGGTTGCAGTTGGAGTACAGTTTTGGACCCCCGATTTCTGGAGGGATATGGATAAGCTTGAGAAAGTCCAAAGGACAGCCACCTGCATGATCAAAGGCCAGGCTGAGGGACATGGGC